TTTTGAGATATTTGTGAAGTATGTTCATGTCCGACTTGGTTTTGTATGATACGGGCTGTGGACCGATTGTCATGGTAACGGTCCGAGGAAAGATATCAAATGTGATACGCGCTGTTCGGACCAATTGTCATGGTAACGGTCTGAGATGGAAAAATATCAGACCGGTAATCAGCCAATCAGAGCGCACGTACGGTCCAAGTCATATAATAATGTCTTATATATGAACCAAATAAGGATTGACCAATCAGAAGGCTTTTTGTCCCTGAATTTGGCCAGTGCTGCTCTTGAATGGCTCTTTTGTTGCTCCCCATAAATTTTGCTCCACATTCCCACACATTAAACCTTTTCGAGTTAGTTCTAATAAGCACAGCTTCTCTGGTCTCGCTCTGGTCTCGCTCTGGTCTCGCTCTGGTCTCGCTCTGGTCTCGCTCTGGTCTCGCTCTGGTCTTGCTCTGGTCTCGCTCTGGTCTCGCTCTGGTCTCCTCTGGTCTAGCTCTGGTCTCGCTCTGGTCTCTCTCTGGTTTCACTGTGGTCTCACTGTGGTCTCACTGTGGTCTCACTGTGGTCTCACTGTGGTTTCAGAAAGGCTGCAGTAACCTCCTGAAGGGTGACTCTCGTGCCTCCCGTGTGAACATGACGGATCAGAGCTACCAGAGTATCTTCTGCTCGAACATGATGAAGACCAACCAGGACCTGCTGACCCTCGGCCTCGAACTGGGAGCTATGAACACAGACATCTTCCTGGAGAACAGTACGAATCACACACTGACTTTAAAACCACTGTTAGAGAGACCAGAGACAGTGAGACCACAGAGAGACAAGAAAGACCAGAGAGAGACCACAAAGAGGGACCAAAGAGACAAAAGAGAGATCAGCGAGAGAGAATATTTTTTAATTATAATCATGATCCATGTACTGTATCTGTTCCACACTGTTTCACTGTGTCTGTCTGTTTCTCTGTTCCAGTCCTGGTCTGTGGATTGGCTGGTTTCTCAGACTTCTACAAATCTGATTGGCTGCAGCACATTCTGAGACTTCAGGACGTGGAAGTGGGATGTTTCGGCCGAGACAGTACGACACTCGCTCTAGTCTTTCTCTCTCCTGTCTCGCTCCACTGTCTCTGGTCTCTCTTGTCTCGCTCCACTGTCTCTGGTCTCTCTTGTCTCGCTCCGCTGTTTCTGGTCTCTCTTGTCTCGCTCCACTGTTTCTGGTCTCTCTTGTCTCTCTCTTGTCTCGCTCCACTGTTTCTGGTCTCTCTTGTCTCTCTCTTGTCTCGCTCCACTGTCTCTGGTCTCTCTTGTCTCGCTCCACTGTTTCTGGTCTCTCTTGTCTCTCTCTTGTCTCGCTCCACTGTTTCTGGTCTCTCTTGTCTCTCTCTTGTCTCGCTCCACTGTCTCTGGTCTCTCTTGTCTCTCTCTTGTCTCGCTCCACTGTCTCTGGTCTCTCTTGTCTCGCTCCACTGTCTCTGGTCTCTCTTGTCTCTCAGATCTCCCGCTTTCTCACAAAAAAGTTGGGCAACAGCTTTAAAGTGTGTGATGATGATGATGATGGTGCGTTGATGATGTTTAAAGTGATGTTTGATGGTGTTCAGGGAACGTGGTGTCTGAGAGAATCGGGGAGGAGCTCCTGCAGCAGCTGCAGCCGCATCATCGAGTGAAGAGGAGAGAGAAGGTTCTGCTCGGTGAGAAACACATACTGGTCTCTCCCTCTGGTCTCTCACGCTGGTTCTCTCACGCTGGTTCTCTCACGCTGGTTCTCTCACGCTGGTTCTCTCACGCTGGTTCTCTCACGCTGGTTCTCTCACGCTGGTTCTCTCACGCTGGTTCTCTCACGCTGGTTCTCTCACGCTGGTTCTCTCACGCTGGTTCTCTCACGCTGGTCTCTCACGCTGGTCTCTCACGCTGGTCTCTCACGCTGGTCTCCCTCTCTGGTCTCCCTCTCTGGTCTCCCTCTCTGGTCTCCCTCTCTGGTCTCCCTCTCTGGTCTCCCTCTCTGGTCTCCCTCTCTGGTCTCCCTCTCTGGTCTCCCTCTCTGGTCTCCCTCTCTGGTCTCCCTCTCTGGTCTCCCTCTCTGGTCTCTGAACCATGTGTGTCTCTCTCAGATGGTTGTTCCAGTCACATGACCGGAGTGGCAGTGGGTGCGCTCGGAGGATACCTGAACTTTTACCTCGCTGAGCAAGACATCACCAAGAGACCGCTGTCCTGAACCAGACTATAGCAGGACTAAACCAGGACTAAACCAGGACTATAGCAGGACTAAACCAGGA